CAGGTTTTTTACCTCTTTGGTTAGGTTTATTCCCAGATATTTTATTTTTCTTTTTGCTATATCAAATGGGATTTTTCTCTTTATTTCTGCTTCTGCTGATTCACTGTTGGTATACAAAAATGCCTTTGATTTCTGGATATTGACTTTGTAACCAGCTGTTTTGCCAAACTCATTAATTAGTTTGAGCAGTTTTGGGGTAGAGTCTATAGGATTTTCCATGTACACTATCATGTCATCTGCAAACAGTGACAGTTTTGCTTCCTCCTTTCCTATTTGGATGCCTTTTATTTCCTTGTCTTGCCTGATCGCTGTGGCTAAAACTTCCAATACTATATTGAATAGAAGTGGTGAAAGTGGACAACCTTGTCTTGTTCCTCATCTTAGTGGAAAAGCTTTTAGTTTTTTCCCATTGAGTATGATATTGGCTGTAGGTCTCTCCTATATGGCCTTTATTATATTGAGAAATGCTCCCTGTATTCCCACTTTGCTGAGTGTTTTTATCATAAATGGGTGTTGTACCTTATCGAAAGCTTTTTCCGCGTCTATTGATATGATCATGTGATTTTTGTCTTTGCTTTTGTTTATGTGATGTATTACATTTACTGATTTGTGAATATTGAACCATCCTTGCATCCCTGGGTTGAATCCTACTTGATCATGGTGTATGATCTTTTTGATATATTGTTGGATGCGATTTGTCAATATTTTGTTGAGGATTTTAGCATCTATGTTCATCAGTGATATTGGCCTGAAGTTTTCTTTCTTTGTCCTTTCTCTAGCTGGTTTTGGAATTAAGATGATGCTGGCTTCATAAAAAGAATTTGGGAGTTTTCCATCCTTCTGGATTTTTTGAAATAGTCTGTGGAGAATAGGGGTTAGCTCTTCCTTAAATGCTTTGTAGAATTCTCCTGTGAAACCATCTGGTCCGGGGCTTTTGTGTGATGGGAGTTTTTTGATTACTGCTTCAATTTCTTTTGCTGTTATTGGTGTATTTAGATTTTCTGCTTCTTTTTCACTGAGTTTTGGAAGATTGCATTTTTCTAGAAATGTGTCCATTTCCCCTAGGTTTTCAAATTTCTTGGCATACAGTTCTTCATAGTAATTTCTTACAATCCCTTCTATTTCTGTGGTATCAGTTGTAATCTCTCCTCTTTCATTTCTGATTGTGTTTATTTGTGTCCTCTCTCTTCTTTTCTTGATGAGCCTACTTAAAGGCTTGTCTATTTTGTTTATCTTCTCAAAGAACCAACTCCTGGATTCATTGATCCTTAAAATTGTGCTTTTAGTTTCTATGTCATTTAATTCTGCTCTAATCTTGGTTATTTCCTTCCTTCTGCTTGCTCTGGGCTGTCTTTGTTGTTGTTCCTCGAGTTCTTGCAGGCGTAGGGTTAGGTTGTTTGTTTGAAATGTTTCTATTTTCTTTAGGTAGGCCTGTATTGCTATAAACTTCCCTCTCAGGACTGCCTTCGCTGTGTCCCATTAGTTTTGGGTTGTTGTGAGATCATTTTCATTTGTTTCCAACAACTTTTTGATTTCTTCCCTAATTTCATTCTTGACTCATTCGTTGTTTAATAGCATACCATTCAGTCTCCATGTTTTTGGGTGCTTTGGGTTTTTTTCTTTGGGGTCGGTTTCTAATTTCAGTCCCTTGTGGTCAGAGAAGATGCTTGGTATGATTTCAATTTTCTTGAATTTGTTGAGGCTCGTTTTGTGTCCTATCATGTGGTCTATCTTTGAAAATGTTCCATGTGCATTTGAAAAGAATGTGTATTTAGCTTCTTTGGGATGAAGGGCTCTATATATATCAGTTAAGTCCATTTCATCTAGGGTGTTGTTTAATGCCACAATATCTTTGTTGATAATTTGTTTGGAAGATCTGTCCATTTTTGATAGTGGGGTGTTCAAATCCCCTACTGTGATTGTGTTGCTGTCAATATCTTTCTTGAAGTCCTCTAAGATTTTCTTTATATATTTGGGTGCCCCTATGTTTGGTGCATATATGTTTACAATGTTAATGTCTTCTTGGTGGATTCTTCCCTTGAGTATAATGAAATGACCTTCTGGGTCTCTCTTTATAGCCTTTTTTTTTGAAGTCTATTTTGTCTGATATGAGAATTGCTACCCCAGCTTTTTTTTCTTGACCGTTTGCTTGGAAAACTTTTTTCCAACCTTTCACTTTTAGTCTGTGATGGTCTTTTGTCCTGAGGTGGGTCTCTTGTAGGCAGCATATGTGTGGGTCATGCTTTCTTATCCATTGAGCTATTCTGTGTCTTTTGATTGGAGCATTTAATCCATTTACGTTTAAGGTTATTATTGATAGGTACTTATTCATTGCCATTTTTGTACCTGTGTTCCTCTCTGTCTCCCTCTTATCCTTCCTTCCCTTAAAGCAGTCCTTTTAGTATTTCTTGTAGAGCTGGTTTGGTGGAGGCGTATTCTTTTAGGCTTCTTTTGTCTTGGAAGCTCTTTATTTGGCCATCTATCTTTATTGAGAGCCTTGCTGGGTAAAGTACCCTTGGTTGTAGGCCTCTGGTTCTCATTACTTGAAATATTTCTTGCCATTCTCTTCTTGCTTGAAGTGTTTCCATTGAGAAGTCGGTAGCTAACCTTATTGGGGCTCCCTTGTATGTTATTTCTTTTTTCTCCCTTGCTGCCTTTAAGATTCTCTCTTTGTCTTGGAATTTTGCCATTTTGATGATGTGTCTTGAAGTGGGCCTCCTTGGGTTCCTCTTGATTGGGACTCTCTGTGATTCCTGGATTTGTGAGACTTTTTCTCTTATCAAATTAGGAAAATTTTCTCTCATTACTCGTTCAAATACGTTTTCTATCCCTTGTTCTTCTTCTTCTCCTTCTGGTATTCCTATTATTCGGATATTATTACGTTTCATATTGTCTTGCATTTCTCTTAATCCCTCTTCATTCTTTCTGAGCCTCTTTTCATTTTCTTGCTCTTTCTGTGAGATGCTTTCTACCTTGTCCTCCAACTCACTAATCCTATCCTCCGCTTCATCTATCCTACTTTGGAAACTTTCTACTGTGTACTTCAATTCAGAAATTGTATTCTTCATTTCCTCTTGTCTCTTGCTGATAGTTTCCATTTCCTTTTTGATGTTGCTGTAGTTTGCAGAGAGATCATTATAGTTCCCCTGTAGTTTCTGGTAGTTCACTGTGAGCTCTTTGAACTTCGTAATAACCAGTGCTTTGAATTCACTGTCTGATAGTTGATCAGCCTCTATTTCATCTAACATTCTTTCTGAAGTTTCTGCTTTTTCTTTCATTTGGGGATTGTTTCTTTGTCTTCCCATTGTTTGAGACTCTTCTTGTTAGTCTCTGCTTCCAAAATTGATCTGTTCTAAAACACTGGTTTTATGGTGTAAACTTCTGCTGTATGATCCTTGTGAAGTTCAGTGGTGCAGACTCCTTGAAGTTTCTTGATGTTCTTAGTCTCCACCTACACTCACGCTGGTCCTCGTGCTGGTCCCTGCATTGGTCCCCTACCACTGCTGAATGTCCTGGCTCTAGTAGCCGCCTCCTCAAGCACCCAGGCCCGTTACTACGGCAGTGGCACAGAGGCTGGGAATGTCCCGGCTCCCGTATCTGGCTCTCTCTGCCGCCCAGGGCCGTCACAGGGGCTTGGAGTGTCCCGGTTTCCGTACCTGACTCCCCGGCGTCTAGTCCTGTCTCTATGGCAGTGGCACAGAGGCTTAGAAAGTCCCAACTCCCGTACCTGATTCCCCAGTGTCCAATCCCATCGCTATGGTAGCAGAACAGGGGCTGAGACAGTCCCAGTTCCCGTAGAGGGATCCTCTGCCACCCAGGGCTCTCTCAGGGGTTTGGAGTGTCCAGGATTCCGTACCTGACTCCCCGGCGTCCAGTCCCATCGCTATGGCAGCGGCACAGTGTTTGAGAGCTTCCCGGCTCCCGTAGCTGGCTCCTCTGCTGCGTCACAGGGGTTTGGAGAGTCCCGGTTTCCGTACCTGACTCCCCGGCGTCCAGTCCCGTCGCTATGGCAGCGGCACAGTGTTTGAGAGCTTCCCGGCTCCCGTAGCTGGCTCCTCTGCTGCCTCACAGGGGTTTGGAGAGTCCCGGCTTCCGTACCTGACTCCCTGGCGTCCAGTCCCGTTGCTATGGCAGTGCGCGAACGTCCCGGCTCCCGTAGCTGGCTCCTCAGGGTCCAGGCCTGTCTCTATGGCGGCGTCACAGGGGCCTTTGGTGTCCCAGCTCCTGCAACTGACCCTTCCGTTGCCCAGGCCGGTAGCTATGGCATCGGCACAAGGGTGTCCCCGCTCCGGTTCCTGACTCCTCTGTCTCCCAGGACCGTCACAGGGGCTTGGAGTGTCCGGCTTCCGTACCTGACTCTCCAGCTCCCAGGACTGTTGCTCTGGCGGCAGCACAGGGGCCGCGTGAGACCCAGCTCCAGTAGCTGACTCTGCCGCCGTCTGGTGTTTCAGTGTCGGTCACAATCTCTGGTCTTTTAATTTCATAAATGCTGGGTAACCGATGATTTATTGTGCTGTTTCTCTATAGATCTGCCAGGATTTTCACCCATGAGTACAGGAGCTAGTATCAGCTCCATCTTACTCCGTCGCCATCTTCCCAGCATCTAAACTTTCTTTTTTTAATTGTTTCTTCTGAGTTCGATATAGTTCCTTTTGTTGATTTTTTTGTTGTTATTTGTGCTTTTGGTACTATAAAACTTGTTCCTGATACCATTACCTAGAGAGCCTCCCTCTGCCAGAGGTAAGATTGCAGATGGATAAAAGGAGCACCTACAGATGAGACTGACTCAACCTATAGAATAGTAAACTGTTATCAGAGATTAGAGTATATTTCGAGTCTTTTGATAGTTCACCTTGCTAGTACTAGGGAGGAAATTTGGAGTTATATGTCACTTGAAACTACTGCAACTGCATCTGAAGCACTATACTTGGAAAGGTATTCACAGTTGCTCACTTACTGGGCTGTTCTTCTAGTCCTCTGTCTCTCTCTTGTACACTTAGGTTACCGCATTCGCCTAGGCTCTAGCACTGACAAGAAGGACACAGGCCGGCTCCACGTTGATTTTGCACAGGCTCGAGATGACCTCTATGAGTGGGAATGCAAACAGCGTATGCTAGCAAGGGAGGAACGCCACCGTAGAAGGATGGAAGAAGAAAGATTGCGCCCACCATCCCCACCTCCAGTGGTTCACTATTCAGATCATGAATGCAGCATTGTTGCTGAAAAACTAAAAGGTACTGAAAGCATTCAAGCTTTGTGATTAAAAGAACTCTTTTTTGGGGGGGAGAGATTTAAAAAACATATTTGTAGTTTTGGCATTTATCCTTTGAATTATCTACTAATAGATTGTAAACATTTCTTGTGTTACAGCCTCGGAGAAAGAGGTGTGCGTAAAACAACTACAGAATCTGTCGCTGCCACTTGTGTTCTATTTTTTCACTGTCTCAAGGGATGTAACTTTTCTCTCAACACATCACATTTATAGAAAGAAACAAGTTTTTCCCACTTTCCACATTAAAGAATTTTAGCTGTAATCAGTGAGTTGGGACATGTACATACCCCCCTTCTGTCATGGATAACAAGTTGATTTTGAATTCTAAATCAGAATAAATTAGAATGATGGAACTTGATGTGACCCTGGAAAATTCTGGTAAAAATCTCCATCTACAGATGAGAAAAAAAGGAGAACCCCAGGAGTAGTCAGTGTACATTTTTCTTAGATTACTCAAAGACCTAGCTACTACCAACCAGAAAAGGACTTGTTTAATTGCTTTAAATGATCAAATTATTTCACACAGTGTCCATGGAGACTCCTAGACATTGGTAAATGAGTCTGCTTCCCCTCTAGTTTTGGTTCTTTTTTTTCTCTTGCTTGACCCTCAGAACCATTTTGCAAATTTAACATTAATTGTCATGCCTAGTCTCCTGTATTAGTAGTTCAAATTCAGTCTTTTTCATTCTTTAAGTATGGTTGATTTTATTAGATGAATGCTAGTATTCCATTAATCTTATTGATGACACCACCCCAGCTCTAATGATATGAATTTAATTTCTCCTGCTTCTTGTGCTTTAGGCTCAGCAAGATACTGCTAATTGTACTTTCCATAGATCTCATTCACCATACTTGTCTGCACTATATTACCTAACACAGTGATACTCAGCCAGTGTGCTGCAAGAGACAGAGTGGTGTACTGCAAGAATTTTTTTAAATTTTTTACTGTTGTTTAATTTTTAAAACATGTAATACCTGACTATTTAGTCAGGGGCACTGACCTCTTTTCTCTTAGATTGTCAAACAAAAAAAAATGACAAGAGCCAACAAAACAATAGCCATCAAGTGTGAATAAATCAAAATTATAATGTTTTTTAATCAGATTAGCAAAAAATTTGGGGGGTGTTCCACAGAATTTTAGTATTAGTTTATGTATGCCACAAGATAAAAAAGATTGAAAATCACTGGCCTAAGGGATTCACATATTTAAGAAATCCTTTGTTTGCATTGATTTTCCTGTAAGAGAAGAGCAGAAAATAGAGAGTCTGGAATAAGGTACAGAAATAATGGTACATTTTGAAAAACTGGAAAGGCTGAAAGCACTGGTAAGATACCAGTCCAAGACTGAACTATTCATATAACACGAAACAGGTCAATTAAAAACATTTTTAATGAATTTGTGGGTCATGTGGACCTCAAGCATAAAGCAATCAAAATATGGACTATATACAATTAGGAAATGAAAAACTGCTGTAAAAGGAAGACTGGTCTCTCATTATACGTCTACAGTGAAAAAAAGGCAAGAGACAAGAGATTCAAATTGCATTGAGATATATTTCCACTGGACCTAAGGGTTTCTGGCTAGTGAGAGATGTGAAGCCCTAGAAATTGCTTTCAATGGGTTGCTAATAGACTCTCCCTCCCCAGAGTTTTTAATAGCAGACTATATAAGTGGCTATCTCAGGAATCTCTACCAGAAGCTGTGGAAGAGCTCTGCTCCTATTTTAACATTAGAGAATAACTCCTTACTAACTGCATAAATCCACCTGGAAATTTTCTCAGGCAAGTGAAACAGAATGTGAAAAAATATGGAAGTACAATGAATTACATCAAAATAGATTGTGATTGGGACTGAGTGGAAGGCCTGGGGCTGTGGATTGAATGCAGGAGTGATGTTATAAAAGGTCAAAGATGTGTTTGACCTTTAGATATAGTGTTTATACCTAAAGAATTACCCATTTGATTCCTTCTTAAGGCTCCTTTCAACACCATAATTTCAGACCAAGGAAAAAGTTACTATCAAATTCAAGTTAAACTCAACTTTATTCTTCCTTATTAAAAATTAATATTATAGACTTCTGAAGTTTTTTCACTGCTAATTCATGTTACACAGACAGGTTAAGGAATTTACAATGTGTGAAAACTATATCAGTAAAGAACTTTTTTGAAGGAAAGAATAAACGATTATCTTTATGAAAATTCTTCATCAGCTACAACCAGTCTACTTTATGAGTCTTTCATTTTTTCATTCTGTCTGCCTGCTGCCTGTATGCACATGTATGTTCATACACAACTCCTCATCCTTAGTAATTCAATTAACAACTACCGCTAAGAAGTCATGGTGGCCTCCTTGCCAACATGTTCGGAAAGTAGATTGGGATTTGGTAACATTTGATGATTTTAAAATTAAATTCTGTTTTTTTTTTCAGATGATTCCAAATTCTCAGAAGCTGTCCAGACCTTGCTTACTTGGATAGAGCGAGGAGAGGTGAACCGGCGGAGCGCCAACAACTTCTACTCCATGATCCAGTCAGCCAACAGCCATGTCCGCCGCCTGGTGAATGAGAAAGCTGCTCATGAGAAAGACATGGAAGAAGCAAAGGAGAAATTCAAGCAGGCCCTTTCTGGAATTCTCATTCAATGTGAGTAGAAATCAGAGTTCTGCTTAAAAGATGAAAGGGCACTTCACTTTGTCACCACTTTTTATGCACAGGAACCAATCCCACATAGCCATTCTGTGTGAACGGCAAAGTTTCTCATTACCTTATGCTCTCCTTAAATTGCCAAATGCCTGAGCTCCAATTTTGCAAGATACATGTAGGGACCTCCTATGGGTTTTTTTTCTCTGGTATATCTACTGCAGCTTCTTAGAAACAAACAAAGACACTTAGGTTAGAGTCCTGTGCTTCTACTTTGGCTTGTTCTCAAGTTACAAGCAGCCTCAGGCCTCAGTGAAAGTCTGGTATTAAATGTAGCATCAGCCCTGGCTGGTGTAGCTCAGTGGATTGAGTGCAGGCTATGAACCTAAGGGTCCCCAGTTCAACTCCTAGTTGGAGCACATGCCTGGGTTGCAGGCCAGGTCCCCTGTAGGGGGCACATGAGAGGCAATCACACATTGATATTTCTCTCCCTTTCTCCTTTCCCTCTTTCTCCTTCCCCTCTCTCCAAAACTAAATAAAATCTCTTTTAAATTTTTTCTAAAAATATAGCATCAGCATTTCTAAGATTTGCATCGTTATTAGATTTGTGTCATTATTATCACATAATATGCTTTTTAATTACCCAATTTTAGTAATCAGTGTAATCATGTTTCACAACATAATTGATTAAAAGCCAAATTTGCTACTTCAGTCTTTTGTTTTTAGTTTTCTTTCTTCTACATTTCTTTTGCTGAATGTCATAGACACTGTGACATGATAGGAAGCCTCTGAAATGGCCATTTTTAAAAAAGAAGTGCCACTCTAAACCTACCCAAAGTCTCTTACATGACACAGAACAGAAAAATTATCAATTAATGTTTTACTTCACTATACTCACTTATATCTTTTGAGTAAGGAACTGTATTCACTTTAAGAATAAGGGTGCAGTTTTATGATTTTGCTTTTAAACAGTTATGGCCCATTCTTTTTATACTTGAATCCCCATACTTGACTCATATGTAACTGGATTTAAGGAGGAGTTGTTTAATTTTCCATTTATATTTTGAAAATATATATGGGCATAGAATCTAGGAAGAGAAAGCACATGTTTCTAGGACTAAAGAATATAGGAAAAGAGAGGATCAAGTATCATGGGGATATAAATTCTTAAATCATTAGCACACAGGGTACAAACTGGGCTATAAAGAAAGAAACAGCAACCTCTGGATTTTCTTACTATGAACAGCATCCATGCAGAGGTTCTTGTCCTTTTCTTTTCCTAAAAATGTCATGTCTGTTTCAGTTCTCTTAAACTTGTTAGGATATGGCCCTGGCTGGCGTAGCTCAGTGGATTGAGTGTGGGCCTGCAGACCAGAGTATCGTGGTTCAATTCCCAGTCAGGGCACATGCCTGGGTTGCAGGCTGGTTCCCAGCAGGGGACGCATGAGAGGCAACCATACATTGATATTTCTCTCCCACTCTTTCTCCTTCCCTTCCCCTCTCTCGAAAAATAAATAAATTATTTTAAAAAACTTGTTAGGATAAAAGCCCCAGAATATTTGTATATTTCCCCTTTTGACATTTTAAGAGACCCTGAAAAATACTATCTAGGACTGCACTAATACATTTCATTTCATAAAATTTACATTTCTCTAGTTAATGAGCCTATCCACCTACACTTACAATGGATTCTATCCATCTTAAGTTTTGATATAATGTTTCTGTTAAACATCCTTCAGAATAGTATAAGGATGGGTTATGTGGAAGTGAAGCATCTGGGCTCATTTTGGAGAGCTAGTTTATGAAAGAAGAAAGTAGTCACAAAGAGCTGGTGCAGTTCGCTGCTTGCCGCCATGCTCTGTGGAGTCAGTAGCACTAAATCACATTCACGAGTACCCTTGCCTCTCCTGCCTGAATGGATACAGACTGCCTGTATTTAAACTTCTGTCACCATATCATGTCAAACCTTCTGGAGTTCACATTTTTCTTTCTACATATTGATATTTCTGCTTTTGAGTCCCCTTTAAAATCATGATACCCCAACACACATAGATTTTTCTGAGTACAACTATAGCCTAGTAGTGTCATACAGGAAGATACAACAAACCTAATGCTTCTCTTATTTTTTCATCTTTTGCCATCCATGGATGATATCTCTGGCCTGATTCAATTGCTGATCTGATGCTGCAGTTGAGCAGATAGTAGCTGTGTACCATTCTGCCTCCAAACAAAAGGCATGGGACCACTTCACAAAAGCTCAACGTAAAAACATCAGTGTTTGGTGCAAACAAGCTGAGGTGGGTAACTTTTTCTCTGGCAACCCCTGAAGGACACAGATGCTTTCTTTAACAAGTTATTGATTAGGAGTTCATTCAGAATTAAATAGTGTCAAGCTCCCATGGTCACAACAAGGACCTAATGAAACACCAAAACATGTTTTATCACCTGTCACTATATCCAGACCACCTGTGCCAAAACAGTAATAAATGTGCTCATTCTGCTGGATGGGAACCTTAATAGTGAAAATGTATTGGGTCGGCTAAAAAGTTTGTTTAGTTTTTTTTCCCTTAAGATAGCTCTAGTAGTACTTAGTTGTCTTTAACTTCATTCAAAACAATTTTGTTAGATTGTATTGTAATAGCTGTCATATCAACATGCCTTAGGAAAAAACTTACCAAAGTTGGCAAATTTTTGTGCAGCCATATTAATATTGAAGCTGGAAGAAAATATGCAACATTTTTGGCATATTGTGCTTTATTATTTCAAGAAAGATAAAATGCAACTGAAACACAAAAGAAGACTTGTACAGTGTATGGAGAAGGTTCTGTGACTGATCAAATGTGTCAAAAGTGATTTCCAAAGTTTCTTGGTCCTATTGACCTTTTGACCAAATAATTCTTTTCTGTGGGGCTGTCTTATGCATTAGAAGATGTTTAGCAGCACCCCTGGCCTCTACCCAGTTGAGGCCAATAGCAGGAGATAGCCAACAGATTCAAAATATCCAAATTAATAAAGTTATTGGTGAAAATGAAAAATGTGTCTTTTGTTTTACAGAAAAAACAGACTTTTTGGCCAACCCAATAGGTGTGATACTTAAAAGTTTACTTCTCTAAGCTAGCTAGTCTTAGGTACAACAATAATTACTGACCTGTGAATTCAGTGTTATTATTATTAGGTCTGTCTTATATTTATTAGAGCATCTTGACAGTTAAGGCTGAAAGCTGCCTGGTGTTACATTGGAGCATTGAAATTTCTGAGCTTCTTTAATCAAACCTGCTCAACCATCTTTATAGATGTCAGCTTTAAAGATAACAGAGGACTCTGATTTTAGATGAAGGTTGATACATACTTCTCTGCTTGTGCTGAGTGACATTTTTAGTGTAACACTAGAATATGTCTTATGTGATTAGGTTGCTATTCTGAATCTGAGATAAAAAACCAAGATAGATTTGTTTTCAGGATGGTGTGATATATATCTCAAGTTCTTCTGACCCAGCCCAGACATGTTTGATCTATGTATGCAGCAATTGTTTCAACTTTGTTTCTGAGTCCTCCTTGCTAGTCTGGTAACATTTATTTATTTATTTATTTACTTACTTACTTACTTACTTATTTATGTACTTATTTACCTATAGATTGGCATTTTCCTTAACATTTAAATAGCATTTGTAAGGCATTTACACTTTCTAAAGCATTTTCACATTGATTATCTCACATACTTCCCAATAGATGTGGTGTAGTTGGACAGAACAATGGCTTGGAGTCAGACATTAATCCAAATCACAGCTCTGATGTATTACAGCTATGTGACTTTGAGCTAGTCATCCTTTCTCAGTCTCTGTTTCTTCACCTGAAAATGGGAGTTAATAATGAAACCAGTCTTACAGAATTAAATGAGGTGAGAGATATATAGATAGCTTAAAAATGTAAATATCATATAAATGATAAATATTTCAATTTATCATGAACAACTCCATAAGGGCTAATAAGTAGGTATAATATCCATGTTTTACAGGTGAGCAAACTAAGACAGAAGTATTAAGTGATGCACACAAAATTACACAGTCAGTAATTAGTAAATTCAGGACCAGAAATTCTCATTCTGATATAAACTGCCTTGTGGTCTTGAGCAAGTGATTTAATCTTTGTTGACCTCAGTTTCCTAACTTATAAAATGAAAATAATAATCTATTCTTTCTGTTCTTCATGAGAGTGCATGACATAGTTTGTGTGATAACATAAAAATTGTGAGAAGCATTTAGAGGAAATATACCAAACAATATTCATAAACTGTCTCTGAGTCATCAGTTTCTTGCTCAACAAAGGGATCTGAGAGTCAATATAGAGAAATTCCTGAAGACATCACTCCAGTGAATACATAAAGTCATAAAAATCCAATGATTTTGAAATTGTTTTTAAAAAATGAATTAGGAATTTTAAAAAGGGAGCTATCGTCTTACTATAACACAAAATAATTTTAGAATCCTAGGATGTACCTTGTATTGTTGAGCCTCAGCAATCAATTTTCAGCATTTCAATTCAAACACCTATACTCTTTCTCAAGTATTATGACAGACAATGCAGGATTGAGATAGTATTCACTTTCAGGGAGCAGGAAGGGTAACAAAAGTGATCAAGGGGAGGAGTAGAATTTAGTACCCTTAATTAAAAATGTCCAAACTCTGTAGTAAAGTTTGAATTGTTTAGAAGAATAAATATTGAAAGAAACATGTTCAATGTCTTACAATTATAGAAAATCAGTAATAAGTCTCTACCTTTCCTTCAATACACATGCATGTGTATCCCTTCTAGGGAGTGGAAGAACCTGACTACCCCACCCATTACCAAAAGCCCTGCCTTTACAATACAGATGATCCCAGCTTACAGTGATTCAAATTAAGATTTTTTTCACTTCATGATGCTGAGAAAGCGATACACAGTTAGTAGAAACTGTACTTCAAATTTTTAATGTTTATCTTTTCTCGGGCTAGTGATATGCAGTATAATATTCTCTCATGATGCTGGGTAACAGCAGACAGCCACAGCACCCAGTTAACCACAGGATCACAAGCATAAAAAACCTATACTCTTCAGTGTAATTTGTTGCCAGAGGTTTTTTGGATATTGTGTTCTAATAACATTTAAGATAGGCTAGGTTAAGCTATGGTGCTTGGTAGCTTAGGTATATTAAATTCATTTTGACATATGATATTTTCAACTTACAATGGTTTATCAGGTTGTAACCACATTATAAACGGTGGAGCATCTTAATTGCCTTCTTGTAGGAGGAAAGCAGTCTCTGGGTGGAGCACTAACTTGCCTAGGCCACGACTCCTTCATAAGTAACTTTGCAATAAAATATTCTCCATGAATATTATTCATCGAGGCTCTTGGCAGTTATATCAAGCTTGCCTATCTGGTGGATATATATTGGATTTTAATTACCTTCTCAGTAAAGATAGCTATGCCAGTGAGAGAGGTTATGGAGTAAGAATAAAAAGTCCCTGAAGACAGGGAGCACTCACTTTGTTAGCATATACCAGGCAGACTAGTTTGTTAATGAGTCTTTTTCATTGGTTTACTCTCCTGATTTATATGCATGTGAGGCTCCTGTTGGTACAGTTGGAAAGGCTAACAAAAGTAAGATAGTCTCTCCCCTTACTAAAAGTTAGTATCTATAGTGACTTTACTGATAGTTCTCTGTATTGTGCAAACTCTTTTTCTACAAGATCATTTAAAACCACATATGTCTCTCACTGAGAAACTGGCCTAGATTAGAAGTTAAACCTTAGATTAGAAACTAGAGCCATGGAAGTAGGTACCAAAAGATACTCCCTACATTATCAGAGCAGGAGTAAGCCAGATTCAGAATATTTTCATGTCAGCACTGCTGAGTCCTTGCATGACAGGGATCTTGTGTCTTCCGCTAGCCTCCATAAAACTGTGGAAAGCTAATTTGTATGTTTTGTCAAGAATGTAAATTGAGACTCTTGGCTGATTGTCTGACAAATAATCTGAACAATCAATAGAAGTTTAGCTGATAAGAAGTTTTGAACCAAGGAGTACAGAGGTGCTTCACAATGGGCACATACAAGACATGGCAGGGACTGTGGCTCCCAGTCAGCCAACTGGAGGGGAGAACCCACCGATGAATGAGCCATCAGTAATCAAAATCCAAGTACAGCAAGAGAGCCCACACAAACCGAATAAATGGCATTCCTAGATCATCTAAATCGGGAGATTAAAGAGCCTGCACCACTGAGTCCACAGAACTCCTACCATAGAAGCCACCCCATGAAGACAGGCAGTCAAAGAAGAGCAATCTGAGATGTAGAAACAAAGAAAGAGGGTCACCTAAAATGGCGAGACAAAGAAAGAACCCCCAATTGAAAGGAAAGGAGGAATTTCTAGAAAAACAGCTAAGTGAAATTGAGGCAAGCAATCTATCATACATAGAATTCAATATAATGACTATAAGGATGCTTAAAGAACTCAGTGAGAACTTTAAGAAACATTATGGGAGCTACAAGGAATTTAGTGGGAACTATAGCAGCATGAAAAGGACATAGAAACTATGAATAAAAACCAGGAAGAAATGAAGAATACACTATAAGGAATCAAGCAGGCTAGATGAAGCAGAGGACTGAATCAGGGAGCTGGAAGACAAGGTAGAGAAAATAGAGCAACAACACAAAACAAAAGACTCAAAATGAATGAGGATAGTTTAAGGGAGTTTTAGGACAATGTGAAACATAACAACATTCATATCAGAGGCATATCAGAAGAAGAAGAAAAGAAGCAAGGGATAGAAAACCTGTTTGAAAAAATGACAGAAAACTTCCCTAACTTGGTGCGGGGGAAAACCACACAAGTTTGGGAAGCACAGAGGATCCCAGTAAAGATGAACCTAAAGAGGCTGACTCCAGGACACATCATAATTAAAATGGCAATATGTAAAGACAAAGAGAGAAACACCTGGTAATATACAAAGAAGATCCAATAAGGTTCGCAGCTGATTTGTCAACAGAAACACTGTAAGCCAGAAAGGACTAGCACAAAATAATCCAAGTAATGAAAAGCAAGGACCAACAACCAAGACTACTCTATCCACCAACTTTCTTAGTTAAAATAGAAGGTGAAATAAAGAGCTTCCCAGAAAAAAGCTAAAAGTGTACATCTCCACCAAGCCAGCACTGCAAGAGATGCTAAAGGGACTAGTATAATAAGCTGAAAAGAGAAAGAGGGAGGGAAAAACACAGGTGTGGAATAAATGGCAATGAATAAGTACCTATCAATA